ATACTTCCCACCAAAAAATTTTACCACCTTTACAACCAACGTAATCATCATTGATTTCCTTCAATCTAACGGTTATAATTTATTGTGAATTAATAAATACGACCTAATATTTTCTGATAAATTATAACTATTAGATTGACAAAAGTCAATGGTGATTAAGTTAGTTGTAAATGTTGTAAACTTTTTGGTAGTAAGTACATCCTTCCCCGTTATGTTTTACTGATTGAGAAAATTATATTTGGTTTTACTTTTTTATTAATTTCATTGTATTTCTTTGTTATTTTTTTATGGGAAAAATTATACTTACACCCTATTTTTGTCTACAACCTTTTACAACCATATATTAACTGTCGATTTCCGTCAATCAATGATTATTATTTTCGCAAATCAAACTTATTAATTAATTTTTAATTTGCAATGAATGATAACCGTTGATTGACAGAAATAACGGTTAAGATATGGTTGTAAAATGTTGTAAAAAAAATAGGTATTCTTGATCTTGCCATCCTAGCAAGATCCGCGGTGTTAGATACTTGCAAACCATAGTTATTCATTAGCTTCTACCAATCGTTATCCACTCCACTGTTTTCCTTTGATTTTTGAGGATGGCAAAACACCCTCAAAGGTCTTCTTAGTCACGACAATAAGTTAAATGATACCATTTCTGTCTTTCAGATATCGTTTTGAGGATATAAGACCAGAATGTATATTTTTTTTTTGTATTCATATTTCTACTGCATTTGTATGATTGACCATGTAATGAACCAAATGTATATGCTGATTTCATATTAAATAGATATATGCATTGTGATAACATTTTATGTGAGAATTCAAAATGGCTATAGAATTCACAACTTAAGGAAAGAGCTAAACGGGGAGTATTGGTTTTTTAAACATGTTTATATTTTATTTCTTGTACTCACAATTTTTTTTTCTTGTATTCTCAAACTTCATAGGGCATTGTTTTCAAAAATATTATAAATATATATTATATATAAAATCAGCATATGAATAATACTTTTATTTTATTAAAAGGTTTGTGATGATCGTGTTCTCAAATGCATGAACGTATCATTGAAATTCCTTTCGATTAAACAAGAGTCACCAAGAAAAGATATATACACGATCCTTCGAGAAAAAGCCTTGGAGATGATGAGGTAAGATAATGTTTAAAATTTTTATTTTGGAATGATGAGTAAATTTTTATGATATAAATTACTTTTATGTATTATATTTTTTCTTAAAAAATTATCTAAAACTTACTTTTTCTTTTGACATTTTAAAACTTACCAAAAATGTAATTCACAAATACTTTAAGATTCTCCCCTACTTATGTTGCGTTTTCTGATTCATGTCTCCTAAGATGTAGTTGAATTCAGCATTAGTGAATATTGTTATTTACTTGCTACGGTTTTGTAACCACTCAATTTTGTCCTCACACATAAAAAAATATACAAAATTAAAAAGGAAAAATAAAAAATAAAATTGTGAACACCTTATTTTGTCAGGATATATTTTTATTTTTAATTTTTAAAGATGTGTACAACAGCAATTGTTTGTTTTAAAATTATGAAATCTATTCAAAAATGTTTCTAGTTTTATCTGGCTTCTTAATTATTTTTATCTAAGTTTGTTTTATATTTTTAGTTGTAAACGAAAAAAGATTAAAAGGGGAGACTGTTTAAATCTTGCTTTGTTTTACATAATTATTTTTATTAAAAAATAGAAAAAATTATAAACAAAAAAAAGAACAAAAATTAATAAATGCTACAAGACAAACAAGGCCACCGCTCAAAGTCTCTACAAGAAGCAAAGTCATCTGCCCATACAAGGCACCGCCCAAGATACAAAAAAAAGAGGTTTACTCTCTGCAGTAAGGAGGGTCGCACTGTTGAATCAAAAAGCGTGTATGATTTGATCAAGGAGGAGACGCAGGAAACCCTCGTGTGAAGAAATCTCCAAGGATCGCTCTATAAATACCAAGAGGACAAGAACTCAAAGAGGAGGATAGTGAGCAAGTTCTAAAGGAAAGCTGTGAAAAATTCTATGAGTTAGAAAACAAAAGAAGAGAATAGAGAAGAATAGAGAGAGGGAGTTGCGAAAAGGAACTTGATCTGGATAAAATATAGGCCCAATCAGAGCCCATCGACACATAAGGAAGCCCAAACCCATTAAGGTCCCAAAGCAAAGCGCAAAGGACAAGTACAACGCGCAAGACGCGATGCCCTCATCGCGACAGACAAGACGCGATACCCACATCGCGTATGAAACCCCCTTTAGGAAGTAAACTTAAGGCCCAAGGCAACCCCACCGCGCCTTGATTCCAATAAACAACGGACAGCTCCAGCTCGCCACGACTCTACCACTAGACACTATAGCAGATAAGGCTACTCAGGTCCCCTGACTGACCTGCAGCCCAAGCCTGGCCACTCAGAAGCCAAGCCGCCTTAACTAAGGCAGCATCGTAACTACTATATAAGAAAACGATATACCACCAAGGTACGATCATCTTTTACATTAACAACATAAAACTCATGCCTCTGATATTGACTTAAGCATCGGAATGTCTTTGCAGGCCCCCCCATTTGGTGTTAACGTGCCAACGTGAAGGAAAAAGGCAAAGCGCGATCCACTACGTAACTCCAAGCCCAGATCGAAGAACTACACTCACAACTAAACCGTGTGTGATTAGGCTCAGTACATATTGGCCAGTCCATAGTGTATTTGGCCTGATCATTGGCGTCGTCTGTGGGAAGCTATCTGTTAGAACCCATCTTTCTCTTAAAACATGGTTGACACTCGAAGCAAATCCCTAAATGGCTCCAAAGGAAAGCGGAAGGAGATCCCTGCTTCCCAAGCAATATCAGCTTCATCGGTGGCACCAATTCCCATCCATCTGGATGACCCACCGACACCCCAACATCTTTTGGACCTTATCACACAACAAAACAAGAAAATCGCCCAGTAGAATTGAGATTTAGCTCGATTGAAGAAAGCTCAAAAGAATAAAGAACAAAACCAAGAAAAGGGAAAAGAAAAAGATAAAGACCCTGAGAAGGAAAAAAAATCCCGAAAATTCTGATGAAAGTGAACAACCTCATGAACACTCGACTGGTAACCCTGGACCTTCGGGTCACAAAATCAAGAAAGGTGAAGAAATAAAAGATACTCACGAGAATGAGAATTCTCATGGAAATTCAAGGTCATTCTCTCGAATTGTTCACCCATTCGTTCCCTGCATAATGAACATCCCAATTCCTCGGGATGTCAAGATTACAACAGAAAAATATAACGGCAAAGGGGACCCCCAAGAACATCTGGAACAATTCCAGACAAACATGATGGCACAAGACGTGGCAGATCCAATAGCATGTCGACTGTTTCCAACAACCATGAAGGAGACAACACTTAGATGGTACTCAGCGTTACCATCTAATTCGGTACAAAGTTGGGAGGACTTGACCAACCAATTCCTCGTACGATTTGCAACCAGCAAGGCCCAATACAAATCTACACACGCGCTAAAAACTGTACGTCAAGGATCAAATGAAACTTTGCACGATTATCTGAACAGATTCTTTGATGAAGCACTCTTGGTCAGAGACCTGGATCCACAAGCCTCACTACATATCATCACAGAAGGATTACTTGATGACCCTTTCTCTATGTCGCTAGCCAAACAGCGACCACGCACCATAGAAGAACTTAGTGCACGATCGAAAAATTCATCAACCTTGAAGATTATAAGCGTTCATGAGAAATTTCTAACACCAGGGCCGACACAGATAACTTTGAAAAAGATGTCCAGAAGAATTTTCAACGAAAATTCTGTGAAAAGATAAAATGGGGAAGATACGACAATTACACCCCTTCAAATACGTCCCAAAGACGGATTTTGAAAGAAGTATTCCAAACAGGGTATGTACGGGTTAACAAGCCTCCCCCAATGCCAAAAAGAGTTCAGCGCGATGAGACCAAGTTTTGTGAGTTTCACAACGACAAAGGACATATAACTGAAAAATGTTTCGCGCTCAAAAATACTATTGAGGCACTCATAAGAGAGGGAAAACTCCAGGAATTCGTCTCCAGCTACAGGGAATACAAGACGCAAAGAAGATGCGATAGAAGCCCAGATCGCGACCCGAACCCTAATGAACAAAGGGCACATCCTAGGAGAAACTATAACCCAGCTCGTAACAAAGATCGAAGAAATGACAGAGAGGCTTCAACTGACAGACGTCAAGGGACTCCACCGCGAAACAGATAGCAAATCGCGCAACAACAATGCGATGGACTACCAAATAACGCGGCAGGAGTTTTAGCCACTATCGCCGGAGGATCAGCGGGAGGAGGTGCGACTAAATCTCAACGCAAAAAACATTTAAAATCAGTAATGACAGTGCACGATCATGCTCGCCCTTCCACTTCTCGCGATCAAAGACATGCCATATGTTTTGACGATGATGACTATGGCGACATCCTCCCAGACCATGATGACCCACTGGTAATCTCAGCTTGCATGGCTAATCTCCAGGTAAAACGTATTATGATTGATAATGGTAGTTCAGCTGATATTATTTTCTGGGATGCTTTTCGTGCAATGCACATCCCAGAGGAACATCTACTTCATGGATGTTCGGACTTAATTGGCTTCGCTGGGAAATGCGTACAACCCAAAGGCACCATTGAGATGTGGGTAACCTTTGGAATCATGCCTCTGGCTCGAACTATCAAAGTACGATTTTATGTGGTTGAGTACGCGTCTGCATATAACATCATTCTAGGAAGACCAACCATTGTCGCGCTAAAGGCAATCATCACTATGCCCCACCTTCTAATGAAATTTCGTGACAAATCTAGCCCGGTAGTTGCTATTAGGGGCGACCAAAAAACAGCGCGTAGCTATTATAATACCAGCTTACGAGCTAAAATTCCAATACAGCCAGATGACAAAGTTAAAGCGTCAGTCAATATGACTGGTCTTGATATGTGCGAAGATCTGCGCGATACACGTCCTCAACCAGATGGGGAATGTAAGAACCCGCACCGTTAATTAAGGTATTTAATTAATTAATTATGAAAAATTAGGATATGATTCCATAATTGACCTTAATAATTATTATGAGGCTTTAATAATTATAGTATGTGAGTAATAATGCTGAAAGTCGCTTTTCGGAAGAAAAGTGCAGATACCGATTCTGCTAGTCGGTATAAATGCGTACCGAAAAAGTATCCCAGAAAATTATAATAAGTGCATGTTAATTACTAGAATAATATGTAGAACTTGTAAAACGAGCTTCAAGTCCAGATAATGAGAACTGGTGCTAGAAACCGGTACTGGCTTGGAAAAGCGCGTACCGGAAAGGTGCTCAGAAAATTACGAAAAAAATATGATAATTCTTAGAAAAATGTCTAGTTTCAGAATCCAATTAAAGTTAATACTGTGTGTTTAATTGTTAAACCACTATTTAAGCCTTAGTGGGCACTAAACCCTAGAAAACAGTTTCTCTACGTGAGTGTGTGAGGGTGGCTGATCAGCTTGGCTGCTCCTTGGGGTTTCTTCTCCATTTTGGGTCCAAGACACTTCCTTTCTTGATTTTCTTCACCTCCAAACACTTGAGCCTTGTGTGAGTGGCCTTGTGATTGTGTAGAGAGCTGGTGTTCTGAATTGGGAGGCTGTTGGGAGTCAGCTTTGAGGGCTGAGTGGGAGAGTTGAGTTGTGGGAACCTTGGAGTTGGCTTGTTAAGCTTCACGGTGTGTTCTTTGTGGAGAAAGGACCAACCTTCAACTTACATTTTCGTGTGCAGAGAGAGACAGAACCTTGGAGTGACCTTTTGAGCTCTAAGAGCACCTCTTGTTGGCTGATTGAGCTTTGGTAAGCCTTGTCACCTTTGGTCTAGAGTCTTTGAACTTAAAAATGAAAGCTTGATGCATGTTAAGGCTTAAAGATGATAACTTGTTGTTGGGTAATGTTGAACATACCTAGAAATGCATGTGTAGGTGCTTTAAATCGTTAAAAACCCAACCTTGGAAGGATATCTTCACGAAATGTATTTTCTGCATTCTGTCGTGAAATATCCGGATATGGGTTTTGAGTATCCGGATAATAGATATCCGAATATGGGATTCTGGATATCCGGATATTGTATATCCGGATATGTCCAGTGAGATATCCGGATATTTCATATCCGGATATGGTCCCGAGGAATATCCGGATATTCTGGGATTTCGAAGAACAGTAGCTGTGCTGTGAGGACAGTAGGCTATTGGGGGTTTGGGGACCCTAGATTGATGAAGTTGAACTTCTGTTTTAATTAAACTAAGTCAGAATCAAGTGATTAAGGACTTATGGTTTGGTATGGAGCCTTAAGACGTAAAACGTAAGGAAAGGCGTTGTCTTTAAGTTATATGCTTGTGTTGCATTATTATTAATATAGTATTGGTCCATAATAGATTGTGAATCTGCTGTGTTTGGACTTTGAGCTGTGGACTCTTGGCTTTTGGAGTTAGCTTGCGAGGTAAGCTTTCATTTCCTCGGTTTAGCCATGTTGTGGTTCCACCATGTCCCATGGGGGTATGGTTTATGCATGTTGTGTACATGCTTTTGGATATTTGATATGTTGATTGAACTTTACATGTAATGGCTTTTAATATGCATGTGTTGTTTCATCTTGACGGGAAGCCTGAGTTTGTAGCGCCATACAAGACGGTGTACCGGGGTGAATGCAAGTGGTACTTGCACGGTGTATAGGTGATAGACGTATACCTGCACTGTCTCTGGCCAGTAGATTAGTATTGACACACATGGCATGATTATCTGCTGCATTGCATTGTTTTAGAAATGATAAATGATAAACAGTGTTTGAACTTATATTGCACATGTAAGTGAGCTTGGGGTGGAAGATCCTTGAGGACTCACTGACTTACTGAGATTTCTAGATTAGAGATCTTACCCCACGTTTGGGGAATGCTTATTTCAGGATCAGGTAGTATGGGTACTGATGCCTCAGGCGGCAGGAGGCCGGAGCTTAGCTGATTATGTTGCTTCTGCTTATTTGTTAGCATGACTGGATATTGATGCTAATTATGTTTTATGCCTTTTATAATTATGTTGTTGTTGAGATTGATGTTGGGCATGTTGCCTTATTTGAGTGAGCATGGGGATTGTCCATGACACTTTCTGTTAGTACTTGTAGTTTGGAGTTGTATAAACTGTTAGATGGTCCGGTCTACGTTGTTGTAGTTCCGTGACTAGAGCCACACTTATATTATCTATGTTATGAGGTATTTCAGTTAGCTGTTTTATTGCAATTACATACAGGCGATGTTTTATTAATTGATTATTAAGCAAGTTGGTAATGTTAATGGCATCATAATTGAAAAGAAAAAGTAATTCCGCATTTTAATTAAGCGCAGCTTAATACGCTATTATGATAACATTACCGGATATATACGGGGTGTTACAGGGAGCTGGAAAATCTCCAATTGGGTCCATTACCCGAAAACATCACCAAAATTGAATGACATATCCCAGAAGCAGAGAAAAGTCCGTTGGTGGCAGTGCTGCTAAACAACAAAGACCTCTTCGCTTGGACAGCTGTTGACATGCTAGGAATAGACCCAGGCGTATTATGTCACCACTTAACCTTAGATTCCAAAGCTAAGCCCATCGCGCAGAAAAAGCGCAAAATCTCCCCAGAGAAGCAACAGGTGGTTGAGACCGAAGTAGCAAAACTCTTTGATGCAGGAGTGATTAGAGAAATCACATATTCTACTTGGCTTTCTAATGTGGTCTTAGTCAAAAAACCCAATGGAAAGTGGCGCATGTGTACAGATTACACAGACCTCAACAAGTATTGCCCAAAGGACTTTTATCCACTCCCACCATTGATAAACGGGTCGACAACTCCGCATGATACCAGATTTTATCCTTTATGGATGCATATTCAGGCTACAACCAGATTCCAATGTTCACACCAGACGAGGAGGCCACAACTTTTATCACGGAAAAAGCTACCTATTGTTATAACATGATGCCGTTTGGTCTCAAGAACGCCGGTGCCACCTATCAACGTATGATGAATAAAGTTTTCAGTCAGCAGATTGGGTAGATGCTTGAAGTGTACATCGATGACATGATAGTCAAAACAATGACTACTTCACAACATCCCCAAGATTTGGAACATGTATTTCAACAACTGCGCAAGTACAAGTTACGACTTAACCCAGCCAAATGCTCGTTTGGAGTACCTGCCGGAAATATTTTAGGATTCATGCTAACACATCGCGGGATAAAGGCTAATCCTGATAAATGCAAAGTCATACTCAACATGACAAGCCCGCGTAACGTAAAGGAACTACAACAATTGACGGGAAGAATCACTGCCTTAACCCGATTCCTTCCCGCCTCAGCACAAAAGTCGCTACCAATGTTTAAACTATTGCGTAAAAAATCATACTTTAACTGGACTCCGGAGTGCGAGACAAGATTCATGGCCATCAAAGAACACTTGGCCAACCCACCAGTCCTGGTCAAGCCTCCACCAAATGAACCTCTGGTTCTCTATCTCTCAGTCAGCAACGAAGCCATAAGCGCTGTCTTATTGTGCGAAGAGGCCCAGGAATAACAACCAAACTACTTTGTCAGTAAAGCACTCGAAGGACCGGAGCTGCGCTATCAACAAATAGAAAAGGTTGCTTTTGCGCTCATCTTAACATCGCGACGCCTGCGCCATTATTTCCATGGACACACTATTAAAGTTCGAACAAACCAGCCCCTTCGACAAGTGCTAAGACAACCTGATCTGGAAGGTCGCATGATTTCGTGGTCGATAGAATTATCAGAATATGACATCATTTACGAACCACGACAAGCAATCAAAGCCCAGGTACTAGCCGACTTCCTTGTCGAAATGACACACCTACATCAGGCTGAGGTGAATGAGGTTTGGGTTATTTTTGTCGACGGGTCTTCCAATGTAAAAGGAAGCGGTGCAGGAGTCATCGTGGAAAGCCCCCAAGGTATAACAGCGGAGCACTCTATCCACTTTGGGTTTAAAGCTTCAAACAACCAAGCCGAGTATGAAGCAGTCCTCGCCGGACTCGCCATGGCAAAGACTTGGGGGCAACAAACATAATCCTCAAGAGCGATTCACAATTAGTAATTGCTCAAGTTCAAGGAAGCTACCAGGCGAAAGAAGCATTCATGATAAAATATCTTGAAAAAGTAAGACTACTACTGACAGAGTTTCAAAGCTTTAAAATGGA